GCGGACGCACGTTTTTTTGTAGTTGTTATGTTTTTTTGTGTTTTTGTTTCCTGTTGAAAATTCGTGTTGCGAAGCCATGTGTTTTGTTCTATGCTTCCGGGGCGCTCGATTCTGAAATCCTTTGGCAACCGAGAGTTTTTGACGGAGCATGTGCGCAACGACGCGCGCGTGTGCACTTCGTCCCATGTTTGGCAAGGGGTTCTTGGAAACTAATGATTTTGATGAGCTAGAGTGCGCGTATAATATTATTCGGCAGGGGATGAGGGGGGGGCCGATACTGGCCTGCGTGGAATAGGATTTCCAATTTCGGATGGACGATTGGGCAGAATCATATGTACATTGCAATACGTACAAGGGGAATCCTATCATCCTGTTAGAAAAGGTAACTCAATAGGTGTAGCAATATATGTAGTGCAAGCTACGAAGTGCAATATATGCTGTGCCGTATATGATGTGTATTCAATGTTGTACTTTCTATGCCTTGCAATATATATATATATATATATATATATATAGATATTGTGCAACCGATGTGGTGCAAACCATGCGGTGCAATCTATGTTGTGCAATTGATTTTTACTCATGATTTGACACACCCCATGCTGTTGCAAACATCCCACCCACCCACCCGCAACTTGTCTTGCAAAATTTCTTAAGACCGATTACGACGACACCGACGACAACGACTGCGACGACACCGACGACGTTTCCGACGATTTCGACGATAACGGCGACGACAACGACAGCGACCACAACGGCGACGACATCGACGACGACGATGACGACGCCGACGCCGACGACGACGACGACAATGACGACGCCGACGACAACGACAACGATTCCGACGACGACGACGTCGACGACGCCGACGACGACGACGATGACGACGACGGCGGCGACAACGACGACGACGCCGACGTCGACGACGACGACGACGCAGACGACGACGACGACGACGCCGCCAACGAAGACGACGACGACGAGGGAGGAGGGAGGACGACGACGGCGGCAACGACGACAACGACGAGGGAGGAGGGAGGACGGCGACGACGCGAACGACGAAGAAGGAGGGAGGGCGACGCCGACGACGACAACGACGAGAGAGGAGGGAAGACGACGACGACGACGACGACGGCGATGAAATAGGAGGGACGACGACGAGACGCCGACGACGGACGACGACGACGACGACGAGGGAGGAGGAAGGACGACCACGGCGACAACGACGACGGAAACGACCACGACGCCAAAGAGGACGACGACGACGAACACGAGGAAAGACAGAGGACGACGTAGGCGACGACGACGACGACGACGCGGGAGGAGGGAGGACGACGACGACGACGACGACGCAAGAGCGCGCGCGCACGCTTTTGTTGAACGTGTTGCGAAACCTTGTGCTTTTCGTAGGTTTTTTGGACACACGATGTTGAAATCCTTCCGAAGCCGATGGGTTTTGAAGGATTTCGGCATACGCCGCGACGACGCGCGCGTCTGCACTTCGTCCCGTTTTTTGCAGAGGATTCTCGCGACGGCACACGCGCAAGGGCGTTCGACAGATTTCGACATGCGCGCGCGAAGCCCGTTTGGTAGCTTTTTGTGAAAATCTGGAAAAACCTTTGGTTTTATTAAGATTTCGCAAGAGCTCGCGCGTAAGCTTCTTTAGCAAATCAGTGTTGCGAAACCCTGTGTATATATATATATATATATGGCCGAAGGTTTTTGAAGGATTTCGGCATGCGCGCGCGACGGCGCGCGCGTGTGCACTTCGTCCCATGTTTTGCAAGGGGTTCGTGAAAAGGTGCTATCGTAGAACAAAATATGTCCCCGCGTATCGTTTTTTGTTTTTGTTTTGTTGTCACAAAGGAACCTCAGGGGGGTGGTCGATACCGGCCCCCCTGGGATAGTGTAAATTCATATTTAGGATGGACATGTGGTCATAATCATGTTTGATTTACATACCCGAAAGGGGAAAGGATAACGCCGGGGGGGGTAGAGAGTCTATTCTCTTTCTTTAAGAGAGAATATAATATCTGGGGCATCAAATGAAACATTTGTTCGCCATCTCTATGGGTATTATACATGGCGTAACCTATGTGGTGCCACTTGTGTTCTTCTATCTCTTTGGAGCTATCTATGTAGTGCACTCTATGTGGTGCAATCCACTTTGACTGTCTTGAAGCTGTCCACTCCACTGCTCGCGCAAACATCCTACCCACCCACCCGCCACTTGGTTTGCAAAATCTCTTAAAACCGTGACGGTGGGTACCAAATGGCACTTGGCAACGACAGCGACGCCGACGACGACAGCGACAACGACGACGACGACGCCGCCGACAGCGACTACGACGACACCGACGACACCGACGACGCCTCCAACGACTTCGACGACGCCGACAACGACGACGACGACGACACCGACGACGACGACTGCGACGACACCGACGACGACGACGATGACAACGACGACGACGATGACGACGCCGACGACGACGAAAAAAAAACGACGACACCGACGACGACGACGACGACGTCAACGACGCCGACGACGACGACGACGACGGCGGCGACGACGACGACGCCGACGTCGACGACGACGAAGACGACGACGACGCCGACGCCGACGACGACGGCGAAGACGACGACGACGTCACCAACGCAGACGACGACGAGGGAGGATGGAGGACGACGACGGCGACAACGACGACAACGACGACAACGACGAGGGAGGAGGGAGAACGGCGACGACGCGAACGACGAAGAAGGAGGAAGGACGGCGACGCCGACGACGACAACGACGAGGGAGGAGGGACGACGACGACGACGACACGACGACGACGACGACGGCGACGAACTAGGAGGGACGACGACGAGACGCCGACGATGGACGACGACGACGACGAGGGAGGAGGAGGAAGGACGACCACGGCGACAACGACGACGGAAACGACCACGACGCCAAAGAGGACGACGACGACGAACACGAGGAAAGCCAGAGGACGACGTAGGCGACGACGACGACGACGACGCGGGAGGAGGGAGGACGGCGACGACGACGACGACGACGACGCAAGAGCGCGCGCGCACGCTTTTGTTGAACGTGTTGCGAAACCTTGTGTTTTGTAGTTTTTTTTTGGACACGCGATGTTGAAATCCTTCCGAAGCCGAGGGGTTTTGAAGGATTTCGGCATACGCGCGCGACGACGCGCGCGTCTGCAATTCGTCCCATTTCTTGCAGAGGATTCTCGCGACGGCACACGCGCAAGGGCGTTCGACAGATTTCGACATGCGCGCGCGCGAAGCCCGATTGGTAGCATTTTGTGAAAATCTTGAAAAACCAATGGTTTTCTTAAGATTTCGCAAGAGCTCGCGCGTAAGCTTTTTTAGCAAATCAGCGTTGCGAAACCCTGTGTGTTTTGTATGTTTTTTTTGGAAACTCGATTGCGAAATCGTTCCGAAACCGAAGGTTTTTGAAGGATTTCGGCATGCGCGCGCGACGACGCGCGCGTGTGCACTTCGTCCCATTTTTTGCAAAAAGGATTCGTGAAAAAATGTTATGTTAGAACAAAAGATGTCCCCGCGTATCGTTTTTGACAAAGGAACCTCAGGGGGGTCGATACCGCCCCCCCGGGGATCGTGCAAATTCATATTTAGGATGGACATGTGGTCAGAATCATACTTGATTTACATACCTGAAAAGGGGGACCGATAACACCAGGGGGGGTGTAGAGTCTAATTCTCTTTTTAAAAAGGAAAATCCAAGTGATGCAATCTCTGAAGTGCAACTCTGTGGTGTGCGGTGCGTACTCTATGTTGTAAGATGTATGTGGATCAATCTGTGTGATGCAATATATGTGGTGCGATCCATGTTGTGCGTTCTATGTTGTGCAACCTATGTGGTGCAATCTATGCGGTGCAATCCTTGTTGCGGCGACGGGGCGGCGACGGCGACCACAGAGACGCCAGACCGGTAGCCAGGCCCAGACGACGGGCGGCGACGAGGCGGCGACGGGGCGGCGACGGCGACCACGGAGCCGCCAGACTGGCAGCCAGGACGAAACGACGTGCGGCGACGAAGCGGTGACAGGGCGGCGACGGCGACCACGGAGCCGCCAGACAGCAGCCAGGCCAAGACGACGGGCGGCTACGAGGCGGCGACGGGACGGCGGCGGCGACCGCATAGCCGCCAGACTGGCAGCCAGGACCAGACGACGTGCGGCGACGAGGCGGCGACGGGGCGGCGACGGCGACCACGAAACCGCCAAACCGGTAGCCAGGCCCAGACGACGGGCGGCGACGAGGCGGCGACGGGGCGGCGACGGCGACCATGGAGACGCTAGACCGGTAGCCAGGCCCAGACGACGGGCGGCGACGAGGCGGCGACGGGGCGGCGACGGCGACCACGGAGACGCCAGACAGGTAGCCAGGCCCAGACGACGGGCGGCGACGAGGCGGCGACGGGGCGGCGACGGCGACCACGGAGACGCTAGACAGGCAGCCAGGCTCAGTCCCCTTAGAGCAAGAACTAAGAACCCCTAAGTGCAAGCACAATTTCGGGAATAATTTCTCGGGGGGCGGGGCTGCGGTGCGAGTAAGATGAGTAAGGCACCCCAAGAGAGGCCTCAAGACCCTTGCAGCCCAAGATCCAGATCCGATTGGAATTTTACTGGGTTCATGTTGGAACCCTCTGGGGCTCTCCTTGGAATATGACTGGGGTTCTTGTTGGAATCCTACTAGAACCTTGGTAGGAGCCTGGGCGCGGGATATCACTTCCAGGGGCGAGAAGCGACATAGTTTCGCCGAAAACGGGGGGACTTGTAAGTAAATTGCTTCCCGAGATTGTGCCTGCACGGAGTGAGTGGTTTAGCCCCATCGCAAAAGGCATTGCAAGCCCGAGGAGGTGGCGCACAGCATCCAGTTGCGACAGTTCGCCTCTGCCGCAGAGCGCTCCCTCCACTGCCATTTCCTGCTTTGCATGCTTACGCGCAAACCGGCGGGGCCTGGAACTCTGCTCTGCCCTGCCGGTATGCGGCCACGCCGGCGCGGAGATAGCGGTCCGCTTCGTACTTCGCGGCGGCCTGGCGCAGCCGACGCGCGTTTCTCGTCTGCCCAACTTTTTGTTTCTCTCTTTCTTTCTTTCTTTCTCTCTCTCTCTCTCTCTATCTGTACGAATTTATTTACAGGACTGCATTTGCCCTTGGTCCTCCATTTTCGGCCCGCGGGCAGACTGAGAGAGAGAGAGAGAGAGATGCGAGAAAATAAAACAGCGGTACCTCCCTTTTGCCGTTTTTCCCGTCGTCGTCATGTTACAAATGTATTGTTTCTTCTCCCTCCCTGATATTTCCCTCGTCCTCTTCCTAGTTGTAGCTTCACCCTGCGAACCCTTCCCCGTCCTCTGGATTTAGTTGTTCTTTTTTTGTTTGCGGAGGATCCTTCTTGGAAAGCCTTCTGCGGTCCTCACGAAACCATTTCAGGTACTTCCTGGGGGCTTCTGGAGGCCTCCTGGGCGCCTCTTGGGGGCTTCAAGGGCGGCGCTGCGAACCGCGGCCTTCAACGACGACTGGACCACGCTTTGGAGTGCTTCGGGCAGACGCTGGGCGACGGAGCGCCCAGCCAGGCGGGTGTACCCTCTGGGCGAGCGGGCTCCTCGGGTGCGCCCTCGGTGCTCGAGGCCACACCGTTCCCGAAGACGACATTTCCAGCTAGGAGGGGTGCCAAGCCGGCTATCGGAAAAGCAACCGTTGAAGGGGCCCTGGGACACACAAACAAATAGACACAAGTAACAGGATTCCTCATATTTTCCCGTACTTTCTCGGTTTGTGTCTTCCCCCCACTTCCCATATTTTCCCATATTTTCTGGGGGATCGACGATTACTAGTGTCTGTGTTTTTCCCTCCCCTGAACCATGCTGGGGTCAAGGGGCGTGCTCCCCTCGGAAAAGAAAAATCAGCTCGAGCCCATTGGCTGCAGCCTACGGAGAAGAGAAAAGGAAAGAGGGGATTCCATCCCTGCTTCGGGTCTTTCAATCTGTGCCAGCAAACACACACCGCGACATATTCTGTCTCCTTCTCTCATACTCCCTCACTCTCTCTATTCTCCGTTTTCGCTTTACCCTGAGAGCCCTTCCCCATCCTCCTCACTGTTGTGCGGAAGCTGGAATGTGCCAGGGGGAGAGTCTTGGGGTCATCTCAGGCCTTCACAAGATTCTTTTGGCCATCTTGGGGCCCTGCTGGGCCATCTTGGGGCTCTCTTGGGCTGTCTGCAAGCCCTCTGGGGTCCGGTTGGAACGATTTTCGGTGCCTTTTGGGCGTTCTCAGACGCCCAGAACACCGAAGAACCGACCATACACAAACATCAACTAAGGATACCGGAGAAAAACCTCAAGCAGATTTTTGTTTGGGGTTCTAGGGCTATGAGGATCTAGGGCTATAGGGCTCTAAGGCTATGGGGCTATAGGGCTATCGGACTATAGGGCTGTAAGGCCATAGGGCTATAGGGCTATAAGGCTAAAAGGCTATAGGGCTATTCGGGCTATAGGGCTATTGGGCTATAGGGCTTCAGGGCTATAGGACTATGAAGCTATAGGGCTCTAGGGCTATAGAGCTGTAAAGCAATACGGCTATAAAGCTATACGGCTATAGGGCTACCGGGCATCTGGGCACCCGGCGGGCACCCAGGCACCTGGCCACCCGGGCACCTGCCAGGGCAACCCCGAGCACCCAGGACCGGCCACCGAAATCGGCGACGTAGGTCACCTACACATACGAATCCACTAGGACCCCTACAGAGGGAAGCTCTGATTGGGGAAAAACCGTATGACAATCAATGATTCTTGCATGTGCGAAGCCTATTTGGAGTGTTATGGTGGCTGTCTTCGGGCGTCCTGTGGGTATCTGGGGCCTCTTAGGGGCCCTCTCTGGGCAATTTGGCCGCCCTCCTGTCAGCCCTGGGTTCATTTTCGACGGCCAGCAGGGAGGTCCAGGAAGCCCTGCAGGCCAAGGGATCGCTCTGCATGGGGCGTCCCGAAGGCGAGGGGACGCCGAAATTCGCTCGGAGAGGAGACCGGGGGTCCGAGTGCGTTCCAGATGCGCTCCGAGTCCATTTTGAGGGGGCTCTGGGGGAGCTCCGAGTGCGCTCTGTCCAGGGTCCCCATCCTTTCAGAAAGTTACATACACATATATATTAATGTGCGCACACATTCCCAGTCATATGCTTTGAAAACCCGTGGCCTCTCTCCCCCCGGAATCGGACCCACCGAATCCTGGGCCCCCGGGACCCTCTGGACCCCACTGGACCCCCGGATCCGTGGCCCCGGGGATCCCCTGGACGCCCCTGCAGGAGGCTCCTGGAAGCCCTTGCTGGGCCTAGGCAACGGGCCCAAGTCGGTCAGGGGTGCGGTCGAAAGCCCCCACCCCCAAGATGCCCCAGACACTCACCAAACGCCCGAAGACGACCCAAAGAAGACCCCAAAAGGCTTCCAAAACGCATGATTTTGGGAATGCCCTGTTCTTCGGTCCTCTGGGCGTCCGAGACTGCCTGGGAGGCTCGAAATCGACCCAAAACCGTCCGAAAGGGTTTCCAGGCAGTCCAAGAGAGCCCCAAGACGGCACAACAAGGCTTCAAGATGGCCTAGGAGAGCCCCATGACGGCCCAAGATGGTCACAAGACACCCTCCGAAGCATTCCAAATCGTGACCTGGTCGTTCAGGGAGACCGCGGTTGGAGGCAGGGTGGTCCGAGGAAGCCCCCAGAGGCCCCCAGAAGACGCCCAGGAGCCCTCCAGAAGACCCCCCCCAGGTTTCTCCAAGGAGGAGCCCCCGCAAAAAGAGCTGAGGAGGATGGGGAAGAATTCGCAGCGTAGGGCGAGAATGAGGTAACATAAACACGGAAGCAAGATGACGAATTACATTACTATGACGGCGATGCCGGAAAAGGCAACAAGGAATTCTCGCTAAATTGTCTGTTCGACATTCCTGCCATTCCGCCTGCATGTCAAACGTCAAGAACCAAGGTGCATGACGCGAAGCGCCAATGCAACCTTGTGTACATGTATATGTAGAATATCTGTATGTATACATCTGCATTTATACGTTTTCATATCGGTGGATCTATGTACACATGTGTGTCTATGCGTACCAGTGCGTATGTGTGAACATGTATGTTTACACGTATGTGTGCGCACATATACACACACACATATATATATATATATATATATCCATATCAAAGTGTGTATATATATACATACGGACACACACTATAACCACGCGAGGTTCTAGCGCAGTTCATGGCACTGTGATGAAACGCATGTGAAGCAGTCCTAGGCCTCCCCTTGTCCTCTGGCCTCCTCCCAGGCCGAATCGTCCCGAACGGTCACATGCGGCTCGATTCATGCCCTCGAAAACCAGCCAGGGGGAGGGAGGGAGATGGGAGGGATGGGGACGGAGGGAAGAGGAGGGAGGGATCGAGGATCGTTGGGTATCAAAGCTTTGGGAACATCCTTCTGGAAGGTTGTTGGAGTCGTGGCATCGCGGCCACAAGAAAGGGAGGAGTTGTCATCAGGGAGGGCCCAACATAACAAAACAAGGCAGGCAACCGAACGCTTGCGAGACGCGCCGCCTCGCATCACATGCTGCACGAGGTGAAGATCAGGCGGCTATGTATCGCGTCAGCAGGGGGCATCCCCCCCTCCCTTGCTGCGAGCGGAGTCGCTGCGAGGCGCGGCCCCCCACGTGCTGCACGAGGCGAAGAAGAGAGGCGGACATGCATGGCGCCGGCAAGGGGGGGGTCCTCCCCCCGCCGCGAGCAGAGCCCTTGCGAGACGCGCCGCCCCGCATGTGCTGCACGCGGCGAAGCTGAGGTGGGCATGCATGGCGTCGGCAGGGGGGTCCCTCCCGCGCGTGCGGAGTCACTGCGAGACGCGCCGCCTCCTGCAGTCGCCGCACCTCCGACGGCGTCGTCGCCGCCATCGCCGTCGCCGCGGGCGGCCGCAGCCAGTCTGCGGTTCTACAGATTCGACCCACGGGTTGCTGGAAGTGCAGCGCGTGCATTCGCATATACGGCATAGCCCTCCTCCTCCTCCTCCTCCTCCTCCTCCTTCTCAACCATCGAGGGCCTGTGCGGCGCCACGAAGTTGCTGACTCGTGTCCACGCCCACCCCCCAAGCTCATCAAACGGTGTTCGCGGACGCGGCAGGAGCCCTGTCTTCCAGGGATGATGGGGAGGAAACGGAGGCGAATGAGGCCGAGGAGGAGAAGGCGGAGGACCAGGAGAAGGCCGAGGAGAAAGAGGAGGCCGAAGAGGCGGAGACGGAGGAGGAGGGGGAGGACGGGAGACGACGCTGGCCGTCCGCCTGCACCGAGCCTGGCCGGGCCTCCATCCTGAGCTCGGGAGCACGTGCCCTCTCGGTCAGGCCAGGATGGCGCGCGCGGCGCTCTCTTGCGAGGCGGGGATTTATCCATACCCACCGCCTGGGAACCGACGTCCTGGTGCCCCGGCGGGCGGTGGACATGGATGCATTTCGGCCCCCGGGGGCCCGAACATGTCCATATCCACTGCCTGCCGAGGCTCCGCAAACTGACCCTCCAGGCGGTGGATATGGATAAACTCCCGCCTCGGACTCGGGCCCAGGATGGGCCTGGACAAAATCTGGTGCAGGTGAACGCTTGGCGTCCTGTGCGCACGCGGGCAGCCCAGCCGTCGCCGGCGGGCGAACCCCTTCGGGGCCGCCAGGCGGCGCGCAGCGAGCCTCTCGGCGGGCGTTGGCCGCCTGGCCGCCGGAGACCAGGGAGACGACCGAGAAGGCCGCCACGGTGAGCTCGGGCGAGCCTCCGCCCGTCCGCTTTCCCCCGCCCGTCCCGGTCGCGCTGGCCCCCTGCGCCCGGGACCTTTCTAGTCTAGGGAAACGAACTCTATAGACACCGACGCTTTTCCCGACCCCTGCGCTACAATTCGCACCGGAACGCGGATTCTGGTGTATACGGGATCCTGGTGTATACATTTTTCATTGTTTCCCTTAGAAAACGGAGGAAAAGTATACACTACACCACCCCGACGTCGTCCCAAAACAATCCAGGAATTGAGAAACAGCCCGCCACTGGCAATGTATATGTCCCAGTTCCCGACTTTTCGCCCCCACAAGCGCACGCGAGGCTCGCGCGCGCGCGCGTCCCGAAGACTACGGTCAGGAACTTCTGTGCAGCGCTTGGCCGCGGCGGCCCCGGCGACGCGCTATGCCTTGCAAGCGGATAGCGTGTCTCTCCGCTCCGCGGGGTAGGCTGGGAACCGCTCGGGACGTTGAAACTTCGGACCTGGGAAGAGGATTGCGTGTCGGGCCGAAGCGTATTGGACCAGAACCGGCGGAGCGACACGATATCCAAATGTTCCCGACCGTACTTCTGCCCATAGGGCTGTGCAGCACACGAGTGAGAGCTGAAACTGGAGAGGAGGCTGAGGCATTCAGGTGATGCCCCCTCTTCCCTTGCCGCCCGGTGCGGAACCTGCCCGGACCTGGCCTTCGCCCTTCCTTGGAGCGCCCACCTTGCAGCATCTTGCGACGCCCCTGCGAGGCCACCCACAGGCGCCCCGCCCTCGGACGGCCCGCAGAACGCTCCAAGGAGGCCACGCGGTAGGAACGCCCCTGACATTCCGAGGGAGCATGCGCGCACCTCACCAAACTCCCGGGTCTGCGTGCCTGGCCCGGGTGGCGGAGCGCCGCGCCAGCGCACTTTGCTTCTCTCCGCCCTCGCGATGGCCTCAGCTTTCGCGCTTGGCTTCGTTCGAGGCGTTTCCCCTGCTCTCTCTCGTCTCGACCATCAGCTTGGCTTTCGTTCCCGCATTCGTCTCCGCGCTCGCGCTCGACGGCCACATGTGATTTTTGGATCGCATGCTGACATACCGGAAGCGCACACGCACGCACGCGCGCATTTTTTCGTCGCAGCGGCTTGGCACCAACCCGCGGTCAGGTGCAAGCGAGGGGCACTGCGGAGCCCAATTGGACCTCATTGGGCAAAGCCAGGAGCGGGTCGAGCGCGAACGGGAGAGGAGGCCCCGGTGCGGCGGAGCGCGCTCAGAGCACCAAGTTCGCGCGCGCGCGCGCGCTCAAGATCGGGCTCGGTCTCGGGCTCTAGTCCTCTGGGCTGTCCCGTGGCTGTCCTGTGGGTTGTCCTGCGGTTGCCCCGCGAGTGTCCCATGGGCTGCTCCGCGGCGGTATGACAGGTCTTACCAAAAACTATCGGAACCGCGGGTGGCCCACGCCCCAGCCACGAGCCCACCTACAGTCCGTCACATATTTCACTCGCAAGACATTCACCTAACTGTAGGGCGCCACGCTAACTCTTGCGAAACAACGCCTTCTTCCCTCAAGGATTTGTTGATCCCTCCTCCTAGAGGGGAACTCCTTCGTGAGAGAAGATCCAGAGGGTGGGGTGGGCGAGGGTCGTTAGAACTCCCAATCTGGCCCTTGATGGCTCCATGACGGCCCCAGAACTGCCTCCAAGATGGGCCTAATTGATCCAAGATGCCTCCAACATGGCTCCAAAGCGTTCCAACAAGGTGCCAAGATGGCTCGTTACGGGCACAAGAGGCTCCCACGGAAGCCCCTTGTGAGGCCCAGAGCCAGGGGAGGCCAGTAACCTTCTGATGATTTGGGGCTTCTCGCCTCCTCGGCTTCCGATGAGCCCACGAGGCCCCGACGAGACCCCGGAGTGGACCAGGAGCGCGCGCCGAGAGGTGCCCCGAAGAGCGCTCGAGAGGACCTCGAACGACCCAGGCTCCACCACGGCAGCGCCAATTGCAGCCTCTGGTCGAAGGCCTCCAGCACGGCTCTGCGGTCAGGGTCTTCTGCATGCAGTCGGGGCGTTGACCGAAGGAACGAAAAAAAGGAACGAGGCCCCTTTTTCCCGTACGTTAAACTCAGATGTCCCATGGAAAACCTCAGGCAAACCCAAGGAGCACTGTAAAGCAACTAAGGAACACGGAGCCCATCCCCAACAGAAAGGGTTCCTTCCTCAGGGCCCCGACTGCAGCGTGTCGCCGCGTCGACCCTGGCGACGCGCTGCACCCTGCACGCGGATGGCGTGTCGCTCCGCTCCGCAGGGCGGGAGGCTCGGGAAAGGCTCTTGGGCTCGTCGGCGCCCGGGGGGGCCAGGGAAGGGGCACAGCGTGGCGCGCCAGAGCGCGGCGGTCCAGGGCCGGCGGCGCGAGCTGCCCCTTGAGTGCCCTACGGTACAGTCGGGGCGTGGACCTAAGGAACCCCAAATACGGAGTGAGGCCCCCTTTCCCACAGGTTCGGCTTCGATTTGCCTTCGAGAGTCTGAAAAAAGCCTAAGGCAAACTGTGCAACAATCAAGGAACACCGAGCCCCCCCCCTCCTCAACGAGAAGGGTTCCTTCTTCAGCGCCCCGACGGTAGCGAGGGCCCGACGGGCTCCCAGCAAGATCTCACGAGGGCCCCCACCCCCAACAGGGCCGCCTGGCCTCCAGAAAGGGCCCAGGGAGACGCCCAAGATGGCTTCGGGACGCCTCCGAGGCACTGCCGCAGGGGCCCCCCAGAGTCGGCCACTTGTGTGGGCTACTTGGGCTGATCCCTTGTTTGGTTTGACTGGGGCGCAGGAAAAAACATGTACAACCCTCGTCAAAATTAACCTCAAAACTAGCGAACACGCCCCTGCGATGTCGGCGCGCCCTTCAATGTCGATACGACGCCCCTCCAATGTCGGGGCCAGGGCAAAGGTGGTCTGACCGGGAACGACTCGTACTGTAAGTTCGATGATGGCCAACATTGGAGGGGCAGCGCATACAAGTACGTCGCAGTCATCGCTGCTCTGTGCCAACATCTCCCCACAAGCGGTTCAGCCACGCAAGACGTTTCCGACATTCCTCTTGACGAGCGTGATACCGTGTGCAGATGCTGGGGGCGCACGTCCGACCCGAACACATCGCACCGAATCTGGTAGCGTACATATCGTTTCCCGAGCGGCATGGCCGGAGGAGGAGGAGAAGGAGGAGGAGGAGGAGGAGGAGGAGGAGGAGGAGAAGGAGGAGGAGGAGGAGGAGGGAGGAGAAAGCGCCCGCAGCAGAGCGTATATCACGAGACCTCCGAGCGCGCGCGCGCCGCCCCTGCGGGGCCGAGGCGCACCGAGTGCCGCACCAGCCCTTCGGGGCGTGAGCCGTTTGGGGAGCTTCCTCGCCCAGCGCCCTTCTCCCCCTTCTGGGAAGTTTTTTCCCTACCCAGGCTCTGCCTAGAAGTTTTTTCCCTACCTAGGCTCTCCCCCTTCGGGGATTTTTTTTTTGTCAGGGATCTCCTAACCCGGGTCAATCAGACCCGGGTCAGCAGGAAGCCCCAAAACTGCAATGCAAGAGAAGCAAACTGCAACGCAGGGCTTCGCAAACCCGGGTCGGCCAATATGCGCGGGCGCCTCGCGGCCACGAGCGGCTCGCTAACCCGGGTCAGCCAGAGAGGGTCTTCGCAGGATCCTGCAGGATCCAATGCCCTGGCTGACCCCCGTTTGCATTGACTCCCGTCTCTTAAGCTCCGAGCTTGCTTGTTGTAACCCGATTCCGGGCCAGCAGCTGTGAAGGGCGCTGAGGCTTCTTGGGCCACGCCAGAGGTCCCCAGACGGCACAGTTGGGATAGCGGCGCTGCACCCCCACAGCCCAACGGCTGTCAACCAGGTAACGATCCCTTCGGGGGAAGGGATGGATCACTGCTCCCTGTGAACAAGCACGCCCTCCCCCACACGACCAGCAGGCAATCCGGACCCATGCGCACCGCCCGCGCCATCCCTGTCGACACCTGTCCAAAACTTCCTTCGCCTCCGGCTCCGGGGCGTGCGCGGGCGCCCAGGCGGCCGCTCTGCGTGGGCTATTTTTCACTTCGCGGGGGCGGCGGGGGTGCCGGCATGTCGCTTGCTGCGCACGGGCGAACCATCCCTGACACAAAAATCAGTACGACATACACTTTGCCTCCAAATCCGGCGCAGGCGCGGGCGCCCCGCGACCGAATTGCATTCGTTTTGTTCACAGGGACGGCGGGGGATGCTGAGACTCGGGTGTTACTTCTGAAGTGGGAGGGCGGGTGGCGGTGAGCGAGACGGCTCGCGGGCGGGGAGGGTAGCTTGCCCCCTCCCCCTCCCCCCTCCCCCTGGGTCTGGAGGGGGAGGGGCGCGACCGATTGGAGCGTCCAAGAAGGCCTCGGCGAGGAGGCACGCATCATCGAGTTTCCTCAGGATTGGGCCCCATTTTGGCCTCATTGGGGGGGGGGCAAGCTTACTGAAGTACCCCCCCTTCTTTGATCGATCTCCTCCCAGATGGCCCCCAAGATGGCCCCCAAGGCTCCCAAGAGCGCCTCAAGACTCAAGAGGATCCCAAGAGGTGCCCGGGAGGCCCCAAGAGGCCCCCAAGAGGTCCCCAAGAGGTCCCCAAGAGGATCCCACGAGACCCGCAAGAAACCCCCAAGAGGCCCCGAAGATGCTCCCCTGAGACGTTCTGCTCGCCCTTCTCCTCCGCCTCCTCCTGCTTCTCTTCCTCATCCCCCTATTCCTCCCTCCTCCCTCCTCCCTCCTTCCTCTCCCCCCCCTACTCCTCCTCCTCTTCCTACTCCATCCTCCCCCTCTTGCGGTATGACGTCTTACCCAGCCCTTTATTCCACTGCGTGCTCCTCCACATCCCTGATCAGGGCAACTCGTCTGGGCATCGTTTCTGGGGTGGACTGGTGGGGTTACGCGAAGCGTCTAGAATAAGTATGTTTTGGCGGTGCCGATTGACTGGTGTTTCCCCTCTTCGTTGAACCGATGCTCCCCACGGCAACTCATCAAGGACTCGTTCCTGGGTGGGCTGGTGAGAGCACGCTGGGCCTTAAGAATTTGCGGTCGCTCTCGCGCTCGGGCTCGCGGTCTCTGGGAGGTGGGCGTCACGGGATACGCGCAGCCCGCCACGCCGGACGCCATGGAGCGCCAATACGAAGCGCCCAGCCTGCCGACAGCGCGACTGAAGAGCTGGAGGACGACCCGCGGAATCGCAGCTCGACGCCAGGGCCATCCGCGCACCGCTTTGGCTCACACGCCGCGAACGGCCTGAGCATGCCCGACCATCATGTGGCCCTGCAGGGTCACCAAAAGGCGAAGCAAGGCAGGTGGGGGTGGGGGCCCGCGGGTCGTTGGATGGGCGGGGCGGGTTGGGCGGAGGGTGCGGGATGGCAGCCCCATTCCTCTCTCCCTCGCTCCCTTTTCTTCTCGCTCCTTCTCTCCCTCGCTCGCTCGTTTCCGTCTCTCCCTCCCTCCCTCTCTCTCTCTCTATCGTTCCTTCTTTCCTCCATCCCTCCCTCGCAACCTCCTCCCTCCCTCCCTCTCTCCCGCCCTCTTAACCCAACATAGCCTTCCCGGCCACAACGTCGGAGCGGCCGTGGAGGCTATATTCAACGTGCCACCGCACGGAACGCCGAATGAGGAGCGAAGGGGCGTTTCTTGCCACGGAGAGCCTCGGCCAAGAACAGGAGCTCCCCAAGAACCAGACCCCCCCCCCATGAGCCCAGCAGGACCATTGCTCCAACGCCCTTGCCGTATCAGTCCGGCGGGCGGCGGGGAAGGGCAGGCACGCCAACCACAGTCGGACTTCATTGGACAGGACGCGCGAGAGGGCACAAAACCCTTCCGAGGGTCACATTGCCACAGGAATGCAGGAGGCACGGGTCGCGGACACAGGACACAAAGGTACCCTTGATTTGGCAAGGTCGACCTGCTAATCCGGGCCGACTGTGCTCCGCTTCGCGCTCATCCCGACCAGCTCCAACTGGGGGAGCCCTGTCCCGTGTTCCGTATCCCCGCCCCCCCAAGGAACCGATCGCACCGTCGATTCCTCCCGAGGGGCGTCGAGGCCGATGGGCCCCGGGTGGGGGCGACAGGGACTCAGCCGCCCCGATAGGCACGCAACCCGTAGCGTGTTGACACGGAGCCGAATCCGTAGATTGAAGATGCAGATCTGGCGCGATGCGTTCGCCAAAATGTGGGCCAACACGGGTCCAGCCAACACGCAACGTGTTCACACGGACGTCTTGAGCACGGAACGTGTTGCGTTGTAGCACGGGCGTGCCAGGGCAGCCAAGGCAGGAAGCCACGGCTCCCCTGGCTGTGCCCCCCCGCGCATCAGCGAACGTCGGCCTGGCACCCTTCTGCGCTGCCCTGGCCGCGGTCCTCCCTCCTTGCGCGGGCCCGCCGCTGCCCGCCGCTCCCGCCCCCCCCCTTGGCCGCCGCGGCGAGGGGAGCAGCGCGACCGCCGCAGGGGCGCCATGGCTGCGCGGGGAGGAACGGTGCGGCGAGGGAGCACAGCGACATGCCGAGCCAATCT